TTTCACAATCCATTGATAATAACTTGCAATGTAAATTCTGTCCAGATGACTTAGTTTAGTTTTTGTAAGAGTTTTCCATCATTCGCAACACACTAAGGTCATATAAGTGCCGAAGATTCGAGGCGTTACAAGAAAGTAATAAACACAAAGAAGAAAGAGAGAAATCATGATGATAGATGTCTCATAAGAAAGAAGGAGCAAACCACACCAGAGCACCCGCCAATCATCCGCTCCAGATGACTGATGTTGAAATTTACAAGTCATTCAGAAGATAACGTTCTCAGTCCCTGTCAAGATACTAGTAAAGAAGAATAAATACTCTAGAAAGAATGAGAGAAATATTTCAAACCCAACAAAGATTTAAACCAAAACTCTGAGCAGCGTATCAAGTTTGCCATCTACTACGAATGTCAGCAACTACTGCTCTAGAGACAAAGAGTCACCCATAACGTTAAAAATTAAAAGTTAATATAACTGTTTGGACCTCTGTTCTCTCTCGTGCTACACAAACATGGAATCTTGCCACCTCTCAACTTTAAATAATCATTCTTTTCCTGACCCACAGAGGTTGCACCTAAGACTTGATCCACATGCATGGAAAGATTAATCAATTAATTCTTTTTTAAAATGTTAAACCCTAATACCTCTTTGTATCAAATGCCAGGGAAGACTTTGTTGGTCACACATGACTAAACGTGCAGCGCACTGAGCAAGAGAAAATGAATACACTTGTGTAACATTTACCAGTTCTACAATCTTATCTCAATGAAAACACCAGTTCCAGAATGACATGTGAGGCAGCGTGGTGGAATCAGGCTCTCCTCAAAATAATCAAAGTGACGAAACTTGCTTTTTCCACAGGTTTGTGAATTTTTATCAAATTTTTGTTCTTTGTCTCAACACCTTTCATGCCCATTAAAGAACTCATTTCTGTGTGGATTTTTCTGAAAAACGTTGATTAAAGGCACAAAATTGGTAAATTTTCAGTTACCACGGACTCTTAAGCTAAGGAAATAACTAATCTTTGGCGGGCATTTTCTTACTAATTTACCTCTGAAAACAGATGACCCTCACCTCCTTCTTTCGCAAATATCTCGAATTGTATTCAAGAAAAATGGATATTTTTTTCATCCCAATAAACACAAGTGAACAACCTTTAAGAGTATACCAATAACTCTACATACCCGAGAATTGAGGAGAGCCTGACTCCACCGCCTGACTCCTCCACGCTGCCTCGAGGCCTCACAAACGTTCAAAACAAAACCAAACACCCCAGAGAAAGAATGAAATTTCTACAAAATCAAAGATTTACTACTTTACTGATTCTGAAACTTGCTATTCCCAGAATTTCCAGTTGATTTGATATATATAGAATGTGTGTATAGACTTCGTAGTGAACAACACTAAAGGCGCGCTCATATGACCTTAGCAGTTGCCAGCGCCGTAAAACCCTATAGGCTACTACTACTACTACAACACTATAGTTTTTTGTAATTTTCTGAACTTGACGTGCACAAAAGCATACAACGGTAAATGCAAACAGACAATGACACATAATCAAACGGTTTACACAAGTCATCTGCTTATACCTCTTCACTCGTGACAAACCCTGTCAACCATGCAGTTCCCTGGAATTACCCAACCATAGAGATTTGTATAACATTACATTCATTAACCCTTCCAGCCCCATGCGGTTATATTTTCAGCAGCACTTGTACCTCCCTCCGTCCCAAGAGCGTATATTCTCAGTTTCGGGAGTTACCGAATTTGCACATTTTTCTAAATTAGTTTATCTAATTAAACTGTAATTTTCATAATATTTGTTCATTTACCTTTAAACAATGTTAGATGTTATTATCTAAACCTCAGTACAAAGATACTACATCACTTTTTAGAATTCATGCCTCTTTTTCTGAACTACTGCTGTATTGGCTGGGACTGGGGTTAGGGAGTGCACAAAAATGGCTGGGGCTGGAAGGGTTAAGCTTCAAAGACCTATGCGTATATCGTGTTTCGCATAAATGACCTATGTGACCCATGTTGCATGCCTTCCACGGTAACAAAACCCCATTTTTTTTTTTACATTCTGCCAGTACCT